TGAAGAGACATCAATTTGATAGGTGGACCACTCGGTGGATAAAGAGTGGCTGCATGGCCACACACAAAGAGTTGTGGTCAATGACTCAGTGTCCAGTTGGAGACCAGTAATGAGTGGTGTCCCTCAGGGATCGGTGTTGGGACCAGTCTTGTTCAACATCTTTGTCGCTGACATGGACAGTGGGATTGAGTGTGCCCTCAGCAAGTTTGCCGATGACACCAAGCTGTGTGGTTCGGTTGATACCCTGGAGGGAAGGAATGCCATCCAGAGGGACCCTGACACACTTGGACGTGGGCTGATGCCAACCTTATGAAGTTTAACCATGCCAAGTGCAAGGTCCTACACCTGGGTCGGAGCAATCCCAGGCACAGCTACAGGTTGGGCAGAGAAGAGATTCAGAGCAGCCCTGTGGAGAAGGACTTGGGGGTGCTGGTCAATGAGAAAATGAACATGAGCTGGCTTCAGTGTGCGCTCGCAGCCCAGAAAGCCAACTGTATCCTGGGCTGCATCAAAAGAAGCGTGACCAGCAGGTCGAAGGAGGTGATCCTGCCCCTCTACTCTGCTCATGAGACCTCACTTGGAGTATTGTGTGCAGTTCTGGTGTCCTCAACACAAAAAGGACATGGAACTGTTGGAGCAAGTCCAGAGAAGGGCCACAAGGATGACTGGGGGACTGGAGCACCTCCCGTATGAAGATGGCCTGAGAAAGTTGGGGCTGTTCAGCCTGGAGAAGAGAAGGCTGCGTGGAGACCTCATAGCAGCCTTCCAGTATCTGAAGGGGTCCTGTAAGGATGCTGGGGAGGGACTCCTCATTAGGGACTGTAGTGACAGTACAAGGGGTAACGGGTTAAAACTTAAACAGGGGAAGTTTAGACTGGATATAAGGAGGAAGTTCTTTACTGTGAGAGTGGTGAGGCACTGGAATGGGTTGCCCAGGGGAGCTGTGAATGCTCCATCCCTGGCGGTGTTCAAGGCTGGGTTGGACAGAGCCTTGGGTGACATGGTCTAATGTGGGAGGTGTCCCTGCCCATGGCAGGGGAGTTGGAGCTATATGATCTTAAGGTCCTTTCCAACCCTATCTATTCTATGATTCTATTGATTGAGATATCAGCCTGTGAGATTACCAACCTGTAGTGAGACTGAAAGTCAACCCAGAGAAGGTAAAGACAAAAGACAAAAAACATGGGAACATGAAAGAGCTGAATGCAGGTCACTGCATTTGGTACACTGACTAAAATCAGAATAGGAAAGATTTCCAATGTAATAGTAGATCTGCCAGGGCAACTGAATCAGTTTTTGATTAATAGTTTTTGTATATTGAATAGAAAGGGACATATGAAAATGCTAGCTAGAAAATCTCTGGTAAAAGCCTATTGATATGTGTTGTTACATGGGGAAATACCATCACAGCAATGCTAACCATATGGCTTGACAAAGCATAGCAGATAGTTGGTTGAAAAAAACAAGGTGAACTGAAATCTACAGAAGGAAGCAGGAGACAGGACACAGGAAGAACAGCTCTTCTGTCTGGATAAATAACTGTGCTCTGTGGAAAGAAACAGATCAGTTGGTGCAGGCAAGAAGGCTACCATGAAAAAAAAAAAAAAAAAAAGAAGAAAAAAGATACAGTAGATCTGCAAACTGAGAATTCAGCCCAAATCCTCAGAAACTCTGGAGAAACCTAATCCAAAAGACATTTTGGGAGAAAATAAAAGTTCAGAAACAAATTCCCTTCTAAAGGAATTTAACAGGCTGTCAAGAAAATGTTTTATTTCAGTAGAATTGCTCCTAGAGCTCTCCACATGTGCTTAAGCATTTCTGTCTTACGTATTTCTCCCCACCCTTTAGGTCAGAGAGGCAAAACATGCACACAATCTTACACAAGTGACTGGGCTCCACTAACCCAAAGATCCAAGTTTTCAAACAAATAATTTTCTTTGATTAAAAAACTATAAACAAATATACAAAAGTACACAAATACCTATTCACATACTGCACATATCTGTACAAATACGTCCTCCACTGCTCTTATAAAACTTAAGAATCAACCAAATCATGCTGGTTCCCACACTCTATCCCATTCTCTTAAAATGGATTTTAAGGGAATGAAAGCAATATTTAAGACTGATGTTTAAAATAAATTAACAACCACAAGCTTCTAAATCAATTCTAATGCCCCAGTACAACCCAAACTGGCAGCTAAAATTTATTAGAATAAATTTTCATATAGGATCATTTCTTTAAGCTCACTGTACTAAACAAATTGCAATTCTGCTTATTTAGTGAAATCTGGCCCCATACGAGAGCTTGCATTGTAAGGGAGTTACTTATGCTTTAATAAATGTTCTTTAGACATGAAGCAATATAGGTAGAGTGCTACAAACTTAAAGAGAAAAGACAAAAAATGTGTACAAAAGACAAGTTTTTCTCATAGGTAACTGGTTTCAGTGGTCAAAAAAGGTTATTTAGAAAAGCTCAGTTATAAAGACTGAGAATTGTTTTATGACCCAGCTTTGTTTTTGGCACAACAAAAAAACATTTGGTGTATTTCATGTTTGTGATTACAAGCACAGTCACTTTTATCTTAAAAGGTAATTTTTAATGGCTGATTACGAGTGTTGTCTTGGGACAGAACATTAAATACCAATCAATACTGCTAGTCTGTTTATTTCTGTAGGTTTTGAATACTTGACCTCAAGGTGCAAAATAAACCCACTCTATGTGAACAACAGACCTCAGGCAGATCTTAGGTCTGACTTGTATGACCCTTCCTTCACCTCTCTAGTTTTGAGTTTACTCACTTATAGAAAGAACATAATGATATCTGCCTGTCACTGGAGGTACATAATTTCAGTAACAAAATTTCAAAGTACTCTGGGATCAAATTAAGAGATACTATTTAAGTAATCTAAAATAAGCTTCAGAAAGGAAGCATCCAAAAAAATTTCAAGCTTTCTGCTCATCTCAAAGCTTGATATTAATTACAAACTTAAGGTACAGAGCTAATGCAAAATCTTTCAAACTCTTATTGTAACAGTGTAAAAAAAAAAAAGGAATATATCATGCATAGTAGTACCTGGTTTAGACACTTCATGTCCATTTACCGAACACTGAACAATTAACATCCAGGCAGATTGTGTTGCAGTCCGTCCCAGCTTACTTTACTTATCAAGCTTGTCAGATACTAAAATCCATTAGATACAAGTTTTACATCAACCACAGAAATTCCATGATTCTGTATGTCAATCCATAGAGAAATCTACTTTTTTACTCCTTACTGAGCTCTCTTTCTTATTGAGCCAAGGTAAGTCAGGCAAAGAGAAATATGGGTATTAAATAAGCATGAGTATCTGCCAGGTCTACCATGAAACAGAGATCACCTAACCGCTTTCAGGAAACTTCTGATGTGGAAACCCAATACAAGTGCCACCAATTCTGAGAATGCTGTAGTGTCCACAGCTGTGGCCCTGAGTACGTTTTCTCCGCACAGAGCTCTTTCCCTAGAAAAGATGAATAAGGGAAGAAGTGGTGCTTAATGATTATTCTGTTTGCAAGAAAAAAGATCTGGCTTTCAAATGAACAGCAGCTAAGAGACACTAGAGCACCAACAGATGGACAGTAGAAATTTGACAATTTAAGCCCAAAACAGAAAAATATGACAACCACAAAAATGCTTTACGAAGGCCCTTGAACAAACACTTTGGAAGTCCATGGAGAATAATATGTGGTTTCAAACTTTTGGAGACTTCAGCAAAGTAATTTCTAGGTCTCTAATCTTTTTAACGGACTGACAATATAGACTTTGAAAAAGTTTCAGACTGTCATAGAGAGACTTGGAAACAATTTTTATAGCTGCTAAGCATCTACAAGTAGGAAAAAGAAAAATAATAATCCTGTGTCTTTTATTTGTAAGGCCTTCTGCTGTGATTACAGTATTTGTTCTTTTCACCAGAGAACAATCTCTCTGCTTAAGTTCAATAGCAAGATGGAGTTCACAAAATCTGAAATGAGTGTACACAGCACCTAACAGCTCATGCTAGGTCTTCTTCAGTTGCAAGGATTGATGCAAGAACACACAGAAGTTAAATAACTTATGTCTGTGTAAGTACAATAATCTGAAATAGTTCTTTTTAAAATAACGTTCCACAGACTAAAAGTGGATGACCATGACACATGCAAAGTGTCAAAATAAAGCAAGCTCCAGTGTCCTATTCGAGTTGATACTGAAAAACATCGACTGTAAATGGCTCAGGGGTGAGGAGACTCACTGGGAAAGAAGAGTGATGGTAAATCACACGTTAGCCAAGCAGAGGGTGCAAGCTTCCGTGTGCCTCACCGTAATCTACGGAGAGCGACTGGTGCAGCCCACAACACCGCCCTGGGCCAGGGTGGAGAGGCCGCAGACCCAGCACCGGTAGGCGCGGCCCCACGGCGGAGGGCGGCGGCCCTGGTTCCCCGCAGCCCCTCTGGCTGGCCCGGCTGCGGTAGAAGGCGTGAGGCCACTCCGGGCGCCTGCAGCCGAGGAACGGCCACACGCAGGCAGGTCCCAGCTACTCAGGGCGGCCCGGCCCGGCCCGGCCCGGCCTGGCCTGTGGCGAGGAGCGAGTCAGGCGCTCCATCCTAGACCGGGCCCGGCCCCACGGGCGCGCACCGGCGGGGCGGAACCACGTGCTCGGCGCGACGCTTCGAGCCCCCACCGGCAGCGAGATCAGCGCCTCCCGGGACAAGCTGGTGTGAATCCACGGGTCGCCTCCTCCGTGGGGAACGTCGCGTCTTACCACACTTCTATTTTTTGGTTTTAACATCAGGCTCGCGGGCGCGGCGTCTGATGCCGGACAATTAGCAAAAGCAGCAGGGGGATGCTTGCCAATAAACACCGAGATTTGAGGTCAAGCAGCTGTAAATCTGCATTAATCGTTTCAGGAATTCAGCTATTTACAAAAGCTTTTAAAGACCAAACAAATAAGAGTAGGGAGGGGAGGAGAGAGAGCTGTACTTACCTTCACATTGTTTCCCTTCGCCTTTATAGCCCGGCTTGCAGATGCATTTGTAGGATTTCGGCGTGTTTTGGCAGATCGCATCGATGTGACAATCATCCGTAGCTTCTGCGCACTCGTCAACATCTGGAAGTACAGAAGGAACCCCAAGGGGACAGATAAGAATGGAGATCTGAGACACACAAAACCGCCACGAATAGATAGCCCACTTGAAGAAGCTGTTTGCTTGTCTGCCTTCTGAGTGCCATCCTGGAAATGAGAACATCTGACATTAAGTAACTGAACAAACCAGCGTTATTCCCTTTAAATCACTTATAAGCATTGCTCCGCCAAACTAGAGGGACTTGGTCCCACGGTTCTGCATTAGGAAATCATGAGACATATTAAAAATTAGCTCCTGCTCTATAGGTCTGGTGCTGGAAACCCACATCTTAAAGGAGCAAGAAAGCGTTTAAATTACCTATAAGGGGGGATCCTATTTGCATGTTCTAGCAAAGACTTCTTAAGTTAGAAAGACAAACCCCAGTTTAAATAAACTATGCTGGCAGGGGAATGAGAAAAAGAAATATTTTAACAGCAAACCCACAATAATCCTTTTTATTAAGAGGCAAAAAAAAAAAAAAAAAATGAAGACCATATTAAACTGAGTAAGTTAGCATAGAGAAAAGCAACCTGCAACAACACCCTCTCCACGAAGCAAAACTCATTTAGAAGGCAGAAGTCCGAGCACTCCCCCCAGGCCCTGCTCGGGCGGGTGCCGCACTGGTGAGACAGACACGGGCACGGGGGGGACCCAGACCGCTTTCCTTGCTTTCAGGATAGGAAGCCTTTACAAACATTTCAGTGACGGGCAGTCGTTTTCTCCCCCGGATTTAAAGAGGATGGGGGAGGGCGGGGGATGAGAGAGAGTCGAGATTTGGTAGTCGTGGGAATGTTAATGAAGTGAACATAGAAGAAAAAGAAAAGAAAAAAAAAAAAAAGCTCCGACCTATTCAGGGATGGGGTGTGCAGTTAACATGGGAACATTTAAAGCCCTGCCTAACCGGCCCTGCCCCCCATGCTCCCCACAGATGGTCCCGGCCACCTCAGTCCCCCGCCGCCCCCTACGCAAGGGGCTGCGGCGAGGCCGGGACTGCCTCGGGGAGTCCGGTCGGACTGAGCCAATCCGCCGCTGTCAGCCGCGGCCGTCGTGTCAGTAACGCACCTCGCAATGATTTCCTCACATCTGGGGGTCGCAGGAGAAGGCAGGGAGGGGAGCGCTCTGCCCAGGAGGGGCGGGCTAACAGCCGGTAACAACGAGCAGAGCAGCACACAGCACAGCCTCCCTTTTACTTTTAGGAAGTATCGAGGAGAGAGGGGTACTGCGGAGGGGGGAAGGAAGGAGGGCAGACAGAAAAGGGGGCATCCATTGAGAGACGTGCAGTTGGTTTCATGCCAATTAGATGAGCAGATCCTGAAAAAAGGGGCACCAAAGTGAAAACAGTTTTATTGTTCGCTTGAAATCCCAACGCTAATTGTTTCAGAAGTGCTCACTCAGCCATCTCCAGTGATAACACCCGGATCCTTCAAAGTCACCGGGGACTGGAGGAGGCTATTTAAAGAGAGGAAGAATAATCAGACACGGTGCTATGGCACACAGCAGAGGACTGCTCCGAGAGGTGCGGACCAGGACGGCCCCGAGGGGGCACCTCGAGGACCCCACCAAGAGAGCTGCCTGCATTCTGTATTGTTGTTACATATATATATATATATATATATATTTTTTTTTTTCTTTTTAAAGCAAGAGGAGTACAGAACGCAGGGCGTCATATGTTTTTGGAGAAACGCAGGGCTGCTGTAATGTTTCCTCATTTCTTTTCCATTTATTTTAACCTCTGAGCCGGTTCAGGTCTAGCTATGATTTACGCGAATTAGTTTAGGGGTCCGTGGGTGTTGCCCGGATCAGACACAGATCCAGTCAAGCACAAAAAGAAAAGGTTTGAGTTGGGTTTTTTTTTTTTTTTTTTTTTTTTTTGGCGGGGGGTGTGTTTTTTTTTTTTAATGTTTTGGTTTATACTTTTGACTCATTAAACCAGCACCTATCTCCCATCAAGATCAGAGAAAGTGACAGCTGGACTCTTTATAATGCCGTCAAAAATTCAAACTACATTGAGCCAAGGGGGACATTTCACAGCAACCAGAGGATGCCTGGGAGTCAGACGTGAATGCCAATGAGTCAAATGAAAGGGCAAAACCAAATATGAGCCCCTGCTCTGCTCCACATCTCACACTGCATTGCTTAGACTTTAAGAACTTCGACGCTGACCTTGTTCATTTTGTTGCATTTAAACTCATGTATCTGAGGGAAAGAGATTTTCCACCGCCCCCTTCCCCCCCCCCCCCCCCCGCTTTACCTTAAAGGATTTCTTCTAGCACAACTTCAGAGACTGCATACACATCTTTAAGAAATTACTTTGGGCTTACAAAATTCCTAGACAGATGGGGGCTTGGGGGGTGTTTATGTTGTTTTTTTTTCTTAAATACCGTAGCAAAGACTTAATACCATCACTGCTATGTAAGAGATAGGAGCGCGGCTGTGAAGAAACGCCAGTTCTTTGGGTTAATGCGCAGACAGGGAAAACCTGTTAAGATAGAACAGCCAACGCTTCCCCTGCGGAGTCTCTGGGATTCAGCACACAGTACCTCCTGGGCACTCAAGGAAAGTAACTTTCCCCGTCTTTCCCTCCAGACGTCCCTTGGCTCCGGTAGTGTCAAACACGCGAGAAAACGCCGCCTCACCACAACTTCCAACACCCCCAGCGCTACCAGCAGCAAGAAGTAACCTCCCCCTCGGCACCTTACACCAGGGAGAGAAGAGCGGACAAACACGGTGCCCCCCGGAGAGAAGTTCCCTCTTACCTGCGCCCCCGCTGCCTCCTGCCAACCTGCCGGCCCAGGCGAGAGCAAAGAGCAAACAGCAGCGCCGCGAAAAGCAAACAGTGCCCATGATAAAGATGCGATCCCCGGCCCCCGGTGCCTGTCTGCGGTAAGGGACGCACTCGGGGCCGGCCGCGCGGAGCCGCCGGCGCTGACGCCCTGACAGCGCCCCGCTGATTCGCCGGGGCTCCCGCGGCGGAGGCGGGCCGGGGCGGGCCGAGCCGTCCCCACCGCCCCCGAGCCTGCCCCCGAGCCCCGCCGCCGCCGGAGTGGGGGCGGTGGGTGAGGCGGTCCAACTCTTACCGCCCCAAGAGTATCTGTTAGGTACCTACCGGCGTCACACCCGCGCCCCTCTTACGTCTCCCAGCAGGTAGGAAGCCCGCAGAGCGACGTCACCGGGCTTCGGCCCCGGGCGCCCTCGGCTGCTCCAGCTTTGCTCCCCTCAGGGACCGGGGCGCGCTTGCGGACCGTTATGCTCTTCCCCTACCCCGGAGGGCGCCCCCCCGCGGCCGGGAGCAGCTCTGGGCGGCAGGAGGGGGTCGCATCTCCTTCTCAGTGCCCTTCGCAGGGGGCCCCGAGGAAATGGCTCCCCCCCCAGCTCCGAGCTGCGGGCTCTGAGGGCAGACAGTCCGGCTGCCCATCTCCTTGACAACCGCTGAGAGGGATTTCTCACCCTCACTAGGTTCAGACTAAAGGAAAACTGCCCCCCGTCCCCCGCCTTCCTCTCAGCTTTAACTAACTCCTAGGAGCGCGGCCTTCCCCACTCCCCTCGCATCATGACTAGGCGCCTGGCTGCTGGAAGTGCTTGCCCTAGCCAGAGACTTCCCCAAACCCTGCTGCACCCGAGTCTCCGTCCGTGACTCTGTGGCCTGGCCTGGCCTGGCCCAGGCGGTCTCCCCACAGTCATCAGGGAAGCTGTAAACTGCTCTTGCTGCAGATGCAAGTTTACAAGTACGAAAGTCACCATCACTCTGAAGCAGAAATCTTACTGTTTTAAACCCAAATATGAAATTTGTCCCCTCAGAGACAAGTTTCATCACCCTGAAGTCCTGCAGACTGGTGGTTTTTAAAGCACTGACATAGCTTGCAGGCGTTCCTCATTATGTCTTTGCACCCCTATTCACTTCACACTTTTCGTAGATGCCCACTGTCTGACATTACAGAATCAGCTTGGTTGGAAAAGGCCTTTAAGATCATCAAGTCCAACCATGACCCCGGGACTGCCAAGACCACCACTAAACCATGAGGCCCTTAGTGACATCTACGTGGGTTTTGAACACTTCCAGGGACAGTGATTCAATACCTGATCACCCTTTTGGTGAAGAAGTTTTTCGTAATACCCAGTCTAAACCTCCCCTGGCACAGCTTGAGACCATTGCCTCTTGTCCTTTAGGTTATTTTAACTCCTAACTCCACAGCGAGGCTGCCTGATGCATGTGACACACACTTGTCATCTGGGTAATACATCCCACCATAGCCTTAGATGCCTCCTTTTGTCAAGTTCTTCCCCAAAGTTTGCCTGTTTCAGTACAGCACACTTGCCTAGAGAGTAGCACTATTCATTACATTTCAGCTGGAAGGGAAGGGAAGGAAACGTAAAGGAAGTTGCTCAGCCCAGCTGCTTGGTCAGTGAAAGTACATGCCACTCTCTCTTTTTCCTTCCTAGAGCCAAGGAACTAGTGCACAGCAGAGAAGCTGTTTGCTTTCTGAATGTTTACACCTCTGCTTTGAGCATTCCCGTTCTTAATCCGTCAGTGGTGGGGCAGAGGTATTATTATTTTAATTCCCGTCCTATATTTTTGTGTGACTACGCTGAGGTGCAGTGTGAATTCCACGCTCGAGTCCTCCCATGGATACACTGAGTGCTTCTCCCATGTAGGTCCCCAGAGAGACTACCTGGTACCTTAGAGCTCCACCTAGTGAGTTTTGTGGCATGCTGTAGCAGAGCGACGGTCATCTCCATAGTTGTATCCCCTGGCACCGTGATCTTTACCTTGTTCAGACCACACGCTGACCTTTCTGGAAAGGCTCTTATTTTCAAAGGCTTTGTAAGTGTGAGGTTTTTTCTTAGGTGAAAAATAAGGCTAAGCCGCCTTCCTATTTTTTTTAAATATATATTTCATAATTTGCCTTGACATTCCATTTAATTAAATCATCCTGCAATTTACCGTGGGATAAATTGTCCAAAAAGTTTATTTTCCATAAAGGAACTCACTAGAAATGTCTAAAAACGAACTATCTCAACCTTTTTAAAAAGTCACAATGTAATGAAAAGGTTTGCTGAAGCACCAAAACACTCCAACTGCCTTGGTGAGCTGCTCTCTAGCATAAACTGTGTCATGTTAATTGCACCTGTTATGTTACTCTTACAGAAATCACTACACTTGTGCTTTTTGTCTTCACTGATTCTACGTATTTATTATCAGCACAGTACTAATACTACCTGTATGACACCCAAGAAAGGGAGTCACCTTGATCCAAATAACACACTGTCTATATATGCCCTTGAGTACTCCAAGGGTGGCATGTGACTGAAAGCTAAAGACCCTTTACATCAGGTGCTTATCTTCTAACAAGCTCACTTTTCTAAAACAAAGATTCTGACTGACAGAACATGAGAAAATACAGTAGTAGAATGCTTTCCAAAAGAGGGCCTGAACCTGAATCAGGATCATCACACAAATGAAGGAATATGATCTTCAGTAGCAGGCTGAATATTTCCAGAGGGTCTTTTCAACAGTTGTTCTTGCCAAGGGCCATGTCTTAGAAAGGGGATCGTTGCAGACTTTCACCTTTTCTACTTGTAATTATGCTTCTGTGCTTGCTTATCATCATCTAACATCATTCCTACATCAATTGCACAGATGCTTCCATGAAAATTTAATGTTGGAACTAATGACCAAGCAGCATCTGGTAATGTGGAAACTAAGAGCCAGAGTCATGACTGTAAACCTGCTCTGTATAACTGGGGTAAGCAAGAGCTACTTGAATTGAAGGTGGAGGAGCTGCCTGGGAACCACCGCTGTTGTTTTAGCTCTCTGCCAATGTACCTGAACTCTGCTTGAAAACCTCTGGGCATCCTGCAGCAACATCCTGCATGTTAATGGATTGCATGGGCTTTAAATGTTCTTCCATACCAGTGTCTTTAAAGCTTTCAGGAAATATTCCAATAAAATAATAATGAGTTTATTAGGACCTATCTCTTTACAGAGTAGAAAGTCCACAAACACCTGCATATCGGGAAGACCAAGGACATACTGTAGAACAGTAGCCTCACCTTCAGAACACCTCTCACAGACATGCACCATTCCAAAAATACTTTAAGAAGACAGAACAGTATCTGCAGAATTATTTGGTTTCCCAGTTTGCCATTTATGAACACCAATGATGCTTCAGGGGGCAATAAAAGCTACAGACAGGGCTAGGAGTCACAGCAATCACTGGTCAGGCTTTGCAAACTTGAGTAAACTGCATACCTCTGTGTTTCTGCTTCCCTTTCTTCCTTCTGTCCATCTTGCCCATGTACAGGGCAAGCCCACCATAACAGGGCCTGCCTATCACTGTATTAATACAGCACCTTACAAAATAACATACTAAACTTATTTCATCTCTCTCTCCCATTAGGGCGTTCATGAGGCCACTAAGACATATAAACCCTAACATGACAATCCTTTTATTTAACTTAAGTTCTTCTCTTTTTCTGAAGTGTAGTATGAAAGAGTAGTGAGTGAAAGAGAGTGAAACCTGGCTCAATTGGATAGGGAACAAGGAGGCCATATGACAGAATTTGTGCAGGAAGCATATATACTTTGAACCTTGAACTATATATCTCCAAACTTTATTTAAATCTTTTCTATTAAGATGAAAGAAGCAATGTAAAAACAGCTCTTCAATGTAGACTATTTTGAATTTCTGCACATACTTAGGGGAAGCTTTTGAAACTAGAGGCAGTGGAGATGCACAGCACCACATGCTCAATGCTATGTTACTTCTTTCCAGCATCTAAGTTTCCGAGAAGTTAAGTAGTTGCATGCAGCTGAAGAATTTCAATGATTTGTACATGGGAAAAAAACAAGAACAACAACAAAGTCATCTACCATAATCCATAATAGAAGCTTTGTACAAGAAAACTTGGTGTCTGGGAGGAGGAGAGTTTTTCTTTTTCCTCGGAGTGGATGGGGAATTACATAGCAGTGGCTGTTAACAGTTAAGAGGGGATGTTTATCAAATAGCTTTGGTGAAATTAGGCATGTTTTACCAGGATGAGGGCTACATCTCAAAGAGGTGAAGGAGGACTTGATGCATAGAGCTGGGTAAAACTTCATGACCTGCATTATGCAGAAGACTGGTTACAGCAGTCTCCCTTAAAATGAATAAGGGGCACCTTATAAAAGCTGCAAGAGAAATTGCACAAAACAAGGTTGTATGTACTATCATCTGTCATGAGATTACACCAGCAGATGGAAAAAGAGGACAAGGACCTGAGGAAACATGCAGCTGAAAAATATACCTTTCTTAAAGTCCTGTTTAACTCTGTTGCCAAAATGGTTTTAGAGGTGGTGATGTGTTTATGTTCACAAAGAGATGAGCAGCAGCATTCTGAAATGGATTGGTTTTAGGAAGTGAAGGCATAAGGAAGCCAGAAGGGAAATATCAAAGCAAAAAAACCTACAAACACCCAAACAAACCAAAGCAACAACAAAACCCCCAAGCCAACCCCTCTCCCAACAAACAAACAAAACTAAAATAGGAAGACTAAGCAAAAGGCAACCTTCAATTTCTGTGCCAGTAGATGTTATAGACAAAGAGAATAGATGGTGAGAACACCATCCCATCTGTATCAGCTGATGGAAGTTAAGCCACCGCGTATTTACCTGAACTTCACAGAAAGATGTAGGAGGTGCTAAAAATGCTGCCATTGAATTCTATCCTGACTACAAAGGGGATGAAATGAGCAGGGTCTAATTACTCTTTGTTGATTCACTAACTTTAGATCAGAGTATGATCAGAATCTTAACTCAGTAACTCCTCCACAGAAGCCTTCAAAACACTGAATTTATGCTAGTACAAGTTCTGGCTCCTGATCTGGTACCAAGTACTTGCCATTATATTCTTATCGTTGGCAGCTCAGTTACTCTCCTAATGAATTTCACTAATTATTATGATTGCAAAGAAATGTCTGTAGCTGCTGCTTAGCATGTTATCCTCTTGAACTCCCAAGTTTGCACAGTCTAAAAATATCAAGAAACTCCAAAGAAAGTACTGTCTTGGGTATTTTAGGCTCACGCCAGTCACTTCTAACGCTAAATCCTATATAGTCATTTACTGCTCTGACTGCACAGAACAGCAACAAGAATTGTAGCAACCCAA